CAATAATCCTCCACACAGAATCACAAAAAAATTACTTAAATATGCTGCTGCTTCTTTTGCATTCCTTCCATAAACCAGGATAATGGACATGCTATTTGAAGAATAATTGTCTTTACATAATTTAATAATTCTTTAGTGACGGCACAAAATAAACAGAACTTTCCTTGAACAAGATAAATAATTGGTATTCTTGTTCATCAAGGAAAGGAGCATAGAACATGAACCAATCTTTAGTTTTCTTCATGCCCTTTTTGGACCAATTTATTCAGTACAGCACACCAGCAGCCTTGTTTTCACACCCACGTAGAAATATTCATTTCTTTTAAGAAACTCGATACTTTTTCTTTTTCAAATTAGTGTTTTAATCTTTATATGAATAGTACCATTGATTCCAAAGAATTATAAACTAATGACCCATCAAAGTTGTTCATTTTTTTATTCCAACAAGAGATTTGGTTTTAGTTTAATATGCTGCTTGCTGATCAACGAGAAGGGAAACAGAGTAAAGAGATGATAGAAATAATATACTTAAAGAATAATAAAAGTATAACACTGATGTGAAAAAACTATTCAGAGAAAAATTCACATCACAGGAATAGGTAAAACTAAAAATTGAAAATTGATACAAGTGGTTGTTACTATAATACAAAACTATCATAATAGTTCATCTAAATAGCAAAAGAATAAAGCTCAAACAAATCTCACAAAAATTCATTAACCATTTAAAGAACTGTTGCTGCTTCTTAAAAACATGTACCAAGACTGAAACGAATTAACAAACATCCAAAAAGATAGAGCATGCTGGGTAAAATTGGCCTCACTAGATATAAACCCAGAAAAGAATTCCAAAATGTATTAAGCAAAAACAAGAAATCAACATGAAATGACAATAACATGGCATAATGAAGCTCAAACACTTTGTTAACGTAAAGCCAAATTGAAGAATACTGGAGGAAAAGAAATCAACTTCTACTTTCCATGGCTTTGAACCAGGTAGGTTGTGTTTGTTGGGCTACATGTTCAAGAAACAACCAAGTTTACATGGTAGGTGCAACAGAATCAACATAAAGAATTACATGGGAATTTGATGTAGAGTCCAAACATGACTTTGGCCATTTAAAGGGAACAACCAACCATTAAACATTAGTTACAACTAATCATTAAGATGCATTTCATCAAAGAAAAATATGCATAACTCTAAACACACGCATACCAAAGCAGATGAAGTGGTAAACAAAGATGCAATTCTTGCATGAATGTCTAACAAATCATAACGTTGGGATTACATGATGCAAGAGCTCACCTTAAAAGACGAGGGATTATAGAATTAAGTGGTCATTCATTGAGGTGATTTGTACAGCACAGTTACTATACAGAGTTAATTCTCAAGCATGGCATTTACTAGACAGGGGCCGCATTGCAATTTTGGAAGTTCTTGAGAAGAGATTTTGTTACATCATAAACCAAATGATCCATCACAGGACAATAAAACAGAAACAGAATGTTAGATTGTGTCTTACATATTTGCTCTCCGGCATTGTATTAGGTGACAAGTTAATTTTAAGGCTTGGAGATTCCTGCTGCTCTTCAGAGCAATAAGGCTTACCATAATTACAAAAATTAGGACAAATTCAAAACTTACTGTACAACAATAAGGCTAAATACAAAACTACTCATATAAACCCAGAAAAAAAGTTCAATTCACAAAGAATAGAGACTATGTTTAAATAACTGTAAACGAAACATTGCATGCACCTAGCTTATTATACCCGGAAAACTTTCCATCTTCTAAAACTTCCAATGTCCTTCCCTTCTGAAACAGCCATTCCTATTCCAATTCTTCCTCCATTGGAAACACCTCTATAATACAATCTCCACTCATTTCCTTCAGTATCCATTTCAACTAAACATGGGGATCCAACATCCTTATCATCCCAGCAACCTTGGTCTGAAGGCCTTAAAATTGCCTCATCCTGAAGCCTCATCCATTCCTTCAATCCATCAGGAGATACAGCCATACCAATGCTCCTCCTCCCATCAGCAGCAACACCTTCATATGCCATCACATAGTTCCCGCCACTCCGGTTCCTTGTCACGTACGGGTTCATTGCTCCAAACTCATCAAAGGAGCCATCTCTACCTCCCCCCATGATTTTCCCCAACTTCACCCATCTAATTCCATCCCTTGATCTGGCAATGCCTATACCAAAATGCCCCTTTTCTACATCAAATGAGTGATAATACATCCTGAGGTCACCATTCCCATGGTAAACAACTTGTGGGGAAGAAATAAACAAAGAATCCCACTCTTTTCCAGACCCAACATCAAGCAATGCTCCACTGTGATGCTCCCCTTCAATCCTAGCCCAATGCCTCCCATCCTGACTAATAGCCAAACCAGGCAAGGACTTCAAAACCTTCCCACTACCACAACTCACATCACCATTGATTCCATCAGGGTTTTCCAAACTGAACTCCAAAGACTGATCAGAAAACTCCACCATATCAGAAACATAGCCAGTGTAGTAAAGCCAGTAAACAGCACTGGAAGCCCTAACCCTGTAACTAGACATGATAACCATCTCAGAAGGCCTGATGCCACCAGTGTCAAAACCCCACCAATCCTTGCCACAACTCATCACAAACCCCACATCAGAACTTGACCTAGCAGGCCCTCCTCCACGCTCCCAATGAACCCCATTTTTTGAAATCGCCAACCCTATCAAATCGAAAGAAGGGTGCCCTTTGGCCCTCCCATGGTACCACATGTACCATCTCTCTTCTTCGTCACTCAGAAACCTCTTCACCACTGGGGACCCAATATCTGCACTGTCCCATGCGTTTGAAGGACCCAAATCCAACACCAACCCTCTTGAGGAAGAGGAATGTGATGATTCTAAAGGTGGTGAAGAACAAAAGGCTTCACTTGCTGCTGAATCAGATTGTGATACACTTTGGGAGTTGGAAATTGAATTGGGTTCATTGTTTGACTTGTTGTGTTGCGTCTCGCTATCAGCGCTGGTGTCTGGTTTTGTGGAGCAGCGAAGGAAAGACGGGAACTTTGAGGACACCGGAGAGATGGTGATGCTGGGTTTGGCGGAACATGCCCGTGATGGAAACAAGGTTGTCGGAGGGGTTAAATGTTGGAAGATTGAAACTTTTGAAAGGGTGTTACGGAGTTGCAAAGAAGGAAGTACCATTGATGATGATGATGATGATGATGGTGATGCCAAGTCCATGGCTGTGAAACGAGCAATGTGGGCCTGTTGAATAGTTTTGCACGCGGAACACGACTTTGAGGACCAATTGAATGGACGGTGACAGGGGAAGAAGTTGAAGAGGGAATTTGAATGAGACAAAAACGGATGTGTGTTTGTGTGGTGCAAGTTTAACAAAAAGAGTGGAAAAGAAATGCAGTGAATGAGAGGGTTCTTTATTTTTATGTTAATAAATAACGAGTCATTGGTGCTGTGTTTGTAATCTCTGAAAAAATTGGGTTTGTGCTATGTTGGCAAAAGACTCAAATGGTGGTGGTGGTGTGCATTTACCCCCAAGAAAATCAGGATTTATTTTGGATGGTTCAGATGGGTTTGTCCCACTTTCCACGCATGAGGTCACCTTGTAAGGAAAGGAAAGGAAAATGGTGTTGTCTGAAATATGATCCAATTTTACACATCACAAATTCAAAGCATGGTTGGGAATGACTTTATTGGGTCTCACTTGTTTCTCTTCTTTCGGAATTGGATGCAAATTTGTGTGGTGTAGTTTTGCAGTTCCAATAAAATTTTTAAGAATTTGCATACGAAATTTAAGTTTCATTTTTCTATCACTTTATCCTCCCATTCAAAGTTTAAACACACACTAATATATATTATTTATTTCAAAAGAAAGCATAAGGATCAATGTTTTGTCCTCTGATATCATTGGATGGGGACATATGTAAGAAACTGATATATGTGCATACAAGCTACTATTTTTTTCCTTGGGGAGAGAAGGACATAAAACCAATCATTTCTCTGAGCTTCTTTTCGTTTGATTTTGCTGCAGTCCAGACATTTTGTAAAACCAGAACTGTGAAAGTTTCCACTAATAAAAGAATATCTTTACGTACAATAACATTTCTTTTATATTCTTTACCTAATATAATAATTCTTTTAAGCGGCAGAATAAACGAAAGCTTGGAAAGAGATAAAGGAATGGCATCGCTTTGCTTCCAAGAAATCAGAAACGAACAGTAAGCAATCTTTTAGTTAGTGTACGCCACCCCTTTCTGCTGTTCTATATATTTACTGACTTCACACTTTGCATAGCATCTGCATATTAATATTCTACATTTGTTTTGACCTTGTAATAACACTTCATTTTTAGTATACGACGAATTCTCGTTGAGGTTGAGATTTTTTTTCCTCGGGTGCTTCTCTGCATAGTTGATACGACTTCACCCACACTTTCACATCAACATATTGATTCTTCTGAAGATCTTCGTAATTTACGATTTTGACTGAGTTCTACTTTTTCGGTTTCCGTCTTCATTATTTCCTTTTTCAAGTACAGTTTGTTTGATACACTGTTGTCCTAAGCCGAAAGGTTCCACAGACCAACCCACTTTATATCATCTTCGATATCATAAACTAATCAAATGATTCATTTATTTAGTTTTATCTGATATAACTTATTCTACAGGTAATATATCCAAAACAATCATAAAAAGCTTTCAATGATTCAGCCATTGGAAGTTTTCTCAGGAAGCCAGTCTTCCAAATATTTTAGTGCAAAACCGACAAAGTTTTACTCACTTAGCTGCGCGCGAGATAACACTCCAAATCTTCGACCAACAATGCAACTGTTAGAACTGGAACCTCGATCTGGATGAAACCGGTGAATAGGAAGAGGAAACAAATTATACCAGATTACAATGATAAATTCATAGCTGATGATTTAAGGTTAGTCAAACTCAAATAATACTAGCAAAATTTGGTATCAATAATTGGCGCTGTAGATACTTTCAAACCCTGTGTAGCAAGTAATCAAAGTATGTTTATCAAGCAAATTCGAGTGCTGACAGTGCTAAGACACTCCAAGAAAAACCGGTTAAGGTTCAAATTCAACAAAAGAGAGAGTTCAACACAATGCAAATATTTGCTGCTCTAACAAAACTTGAGTAGCCTGGAAAAAATGACCTTCACAAGAAATTTTGTAAAGCTTTCTAGTGAAATTTATCTATTACAACAAGTAAATATTTGACCTCATATGAGGAAGAAATAGGCAGGTTTCAATGGGTGAATGATAAACATTATCGTGAGAGGCAAACATTGAATGTAGTTTAAGTTTCCCTCAAAAGTCACCAATCAGCACCAGCACGGGCACTGAATCTCTCCATTGCCTCGGCTTTCTGTTGCTTCACAATTTCGAGTATCTTTGGATTAAAGAAACGATCACGAACATATTTCCTCTCCTCGGCTTGTATCTCCTTGATAGCACTAGGATATGGGTTTGGAGGAGGTCTCTTTCCTTGAAGACGTGCAATTTCCTTCAAACGGCTATATGCTTTCTTCTTTGCTTTCTTCTCTGTCAGATATTCCATCTAAGAAAAACAATAAACTCATTGTTAGAGAAAGAAATTGTAGAGATAAGTTGTTGAGGAAGCAAAGTAGGTTACATACATCAGCTATAGCCATTGCTCGGTCCTCACTAACACCATGGTCTTTCAATTGAAGAACCCTCAAGGCAAAGATACGAGAAGGAGGAGGATCAAAAGCATGAAACCTGTGGAAACACGAATCATGTATCCGAAAGAGCAACAGAGANAAATGACCTTCACAAGAAATTTTGTAAAGCTTTCTAGTGAAATTTATCTATTACAACAAGTAAATATTTGACCTCATATGAGGAAGAAATAGGCAGGTTTCAATGGGTGAATGATAAACATTATCGTGAGAGGCAAACATTGAATGTAGTTTAAGTTTACCTCAAAAGTCACCAATCAGCACCAGCACGGGCACTGAATCTCTCCATTGCCTCGGCTTTCTGTTGCTTCACAATTTCGAGTATCTTTGGATTAAAGAAACGATCACGAACATATTTCCTCTCCTCGGCTTGTATCTCCTTGATAGCACTAGGATATGGGTTTGGAGGAGGTCTCTTTCCTTGAAGACGTGCAATTTCCTTCAAACGGCTATATGCTTTCTTCTTTGCTTTCTTCTCTGTCAGATATTCCATCTAAGAAAAACAATAAACTCATTGTTAGAGAAAGAAATTGTAGAGATAAGTTGTTGAGGAAGCAAAGTAGGTTACATACATCAGCTATAGCCATTGCTCGGTCCTCACTAACACCATGGTCTTTCAATTGAAGAACCCTCAAGGCAAAGATACGAGAAGGAGGAGGATCAAAAGCATGAAACCTGTGGAAACACGAATCATGTATCCGAAAGAGCAACAGAGAAAGAAGAATAGGGCGAACATAGGAAACAGAGAGAAGGAAAAAGGAGAATACTTAATGGGGTCATGGTGTTTGGATTCCGGATACTTTTTATAGAACTTCTTCACATACACATCCTCAGGAAGACTGATGGTCGGAATTTTGCCACCAACTGCAGGAAATGTTGCAGGTGGCGCCCTGGTAACACAGTCAAAAATAAAACATCAGACAAATTTGAAAGCTTTGACAAAAATAAAAAGGAATGGAGATGGTGAAATAAAGCTTGAATCGGAAAAATGAAGAATTGAATCGGAAAAATGAAGGAAAAAAAAGAAAGAGATTGATAAGATATGGAAATTAGGAAATGGAAAAGGGAAAAGATGAATCTGAATTAGAAGACTAACTGCTCCATCGCTTTCAGCCATACGGGTTCTGCCTTCGCTAGACCCTTCACCACCTTCCTCGTTCGACAAAGCAAATCTCCCCGCATAAACGACATCGTTTAGCTTCTTGGTGTTGGGTGTTGCAGTGTGGAATATGAATATAGAGAAAGACGAAGGGTTTTAGCAATGCATTGTCACTGGGTATTTGCTCCAGCAGTTAAATTGGAGTTCAATTTTATATTTTTTTAAGATTTAAATATTTTTATTCTCTGAAAAATTGCTGAATTTTCATTTACTATGTAATAACTTTTTCCTTATTTTTTAGTCTTTCAAATATTTACAAATTTTGTATTTGGTTTTTAAAAAAATATCTATTTATATTTATTATTATTATTTTTAATTTTCTTAGTAAGTTTTTGAAATATCTTTGAAACTTTTTAATTATTTTATTTTAACAAGCAATACATATTCTTATAGTATAATGAAATATCTTGTTAATAAATAGAATATCCTTAGAAGATTAAATAAAATTAAAGAAAAATATTTATTAGAGATTAAATCCAAAATTTCTGAATTTAACAGGAATAACAAATAAATTTAAGCTTTCATTTAATATATTACTAAAAAATAATCTCATTAATTAAAACATAAAAAAACATACAAAAAATTAATAGTTAGACTAATATTATTACTTTTTTTGAAAATCTGAATGCTAAAATACACAAATCTAAATCACAAATTAGAAATAAAAAAATAAAAAATAAAAATTATAACTTAGGAATATAAAAGTGAAATACCCAGGAAAATAGGACCATCCAAGTTTTTCATAAGAATTTCTAAATTAAAAATAATAATTTGTGTACTCACATCATTGTTGAAATACAATGCCGAAATAATCTTATTAATTAATTTATTTTCAATAGTTATATTAATACAATCTAATTCTAATTCTAATTCAAATATTTATTTTCAAGTTAACATTTGAATTGTTTAATACAATCTAATTCTAATTCAAATATTAATTTAAAACATAATTTAACACCTAAAAAATTATACTATTAAATTAAATAATTGTATTTATTTATTTTTAAAATTTAAAAACTAAAATATATCAAAATTTTAAATAAAAAATTTCAAGATACTAAAATCATATTTAATACTTTATTTATAATAAAATTTAATCTGTTCAAAGTATAAATTAAACATTTATTATCCTTTGCAACATGTCACTATCTTGAAACACAAACAATAAAGTAAGATATGTTATTTACTTTGACCCACGTGTAAGTTCAATAGTAAAGAAGACATGCAACACTGTCTAGGAGCATTCCTTTTGCCAACACATCATCAACATTACTTCAAATTATGTTCTCCTAAAAAGTGTGGAGTATTCTTTTTTTCTTACACATACATACATAATATAAATATATAGAGAGAGAGTTTCTGTATGAGACAAAGAGCTTAAACATTTAAGTTGGCTTTGTTATAGTTTTGTTGTTGTAGCTGCTAGTCTGTGTATATTTCTGAGTTCCCTTTCTTGTAATTTTAGTGTACGAACTTGTTACATCTACTAATTATGAAGTTCTTGGTTTTCATGTGTTACTTTTTGTTCTAATCCTGACTAGATTGTAAAGTCCCTTTCATTTGCTTTCTGTTGGACACTGAAATTCTAGTATCTTGTCCTTTTATCATTATTATTAATTGTTAGTAATAGATAGGATAATGCAATGATGATTGATAGGTTAGAAGGATCAATTTGATAATCTAATTAATTATCATTATTATTATTAAGTAATAATCTTATATTAGCTTCATCAAATATCATTCTTGAATTACTGAATTTTGGAACTCATATCAATCATCAATCTTCCTTCTTCCAGAATTAGTGTAAGAAGGGATGAATATCATATAAGTCCAGATTTTGGGTCATAATCAAACTCCAAATTCTAATGATTAAATAATTTTGGATTTCTATTTCTCATCATAGGAATGAATTGTTAGAATTGAGATGTTGATGAGAGTAGCTCTACATATCAGGAAAATCTAGGCTGCATATTGTGTTAACTCCTGTTTCAGTGTATCCTAAGATGTTTTTTCCTTGTGTATGTTACATGTTGAATTTTCTTGTATGATCTGTTCTTTGTTATAACATATTTCAATGTTTCTTACACAGGAAAGATGACATTTAAGAAAGACTTTAAGCAACAAATGGTGCCTGAGTGGGAGAAAGAGTACATGGACTATGAGGGCCTCAAAAGAATATTGAAAGAGATGAAAAGTAGCAGACAAACTAAACACAACAGGTCATTGCAGCACAGACTGAAACTTGAAAGAGCATTCAGTGGACTTCACTTGAAAGGTAGCAATCAGCAGAGAGAGGAGGATAATGAAGAGCAGGTTATAGAAGTTAAGACATTAGAAGAAGAAGGTGGTTCCAAACAGTTATATAAGACCAACTTTCACAAGCTCCATGAAGAAGGAGGAGAAGCTGAGGCAAGACTCTTTCAGAAGCTTGATGAAGAGCTCAACAAGGTCAATGCATTTTACAAGGATCAGGTGGAAGCAGCCAACCATGAATTCAACCTTTTGAGTAAACAGATGGAGGCTTTGGTTGCTCTAAGAGTAAAGGTGAAAAGTCCTGATGCAGGTAAATTCAAAATTCAAGCAGTAGTTTCATAGTTTCTTTGGTAAATAATTATACTATTGGGTGACTTGTAAGCTTCTTGAGGAAAAATCTGAGATGTGTACATCCACCATTTTTTTTTGGTTAAATATGTTTAGTTTTTCTGAGATTAAATATGTTTTTAATCTAAGGATGTTATCAGTTCAAAAGTCTGAAACATCATTTAATCCTATATTTAATCCTAAAGGGAAAAAATATAGTATATGAAAGAATTTGAGACCACCTAAGGTCCAAAAAATATACATTCAATATATGATTTCTATGTCACCATGCAGGTGAGAATGTTTAGGATGTTTGATTCAGAAGAACTCCTTGACACTCAGTGGTGGTACTGTTAATCAGTAAAATTAAATTTAGATTCAATGTAGTGTCTAGAAGACTGAGTTTGACCTCAATTTGTAGAGTTGAAGCAGATTGTCTCCTCACCTAAAGAGACTGCTGATCAAAATCATCAGCAAAAAGATTCTATGATAGGCCCTGAAGTTGATCCTGTTCAACAAACCAACAGAAATATTCATCATCATGAGGAGCAAGCAGAAGAACACAATAATTACAACAGAAGAGATCCCTTGGAAATCCTTGAGCATGTAAAGGTTGATGATTCTCTTCAATTTCCAAAATCAACAATTAAAAAAGCTTTTACTGATTCCAGTGATAATGAATTGAGCATCAGCAAAGAGGAGCTGAAAAAAATTGAAAAGCAACTAAGACTTGTGTTTGTTGAGTTCTATCAGAAACTCCTCCATCTCAAAGACTACAGGTAAAATAAACAAACCATCAAACCATGGAACCTTATAAGTTCTAGTAAAACCAAATGGTCTTGCATTTTCTAAAAGAAGTTTTCTAATGTGCTTTGGTATTTATTAAATGGATGCGACAGTTTTATGAACCTGTCAGCATTTTCCAAGATCATGAAGACCTATGAAAAGGTTAGAAGCATACTTCCTGAGTCCTTGAGAACTTCAGTTTTCTTGGTTACATTCTTCCAAAATTTAAATTAGACTGAAGGCATTTTAAAAAGCATTTTTTTTTCTGTTCAGAAACACAATTCTGACAGTTTTTGTTTAACTTCATTTTATTTTCTTCAATAAGCGTACATCAAGAGCAGCATCTGCAGCCTACATGACAGTAGTGGATAATTCCTATCTGGGAAGTTCTGATGAGGTTGGTTTGAATCATATAACATCAATCATGATTATTTCTTCCTAGTAGTGCTTAACTAGTTAAGTTAGTCTCAAGAAGCAAAACATGCCCAAAGATCAGCACAAAATCATAATTGTTTCCTTTGCGCCTTTTCCTAATGTATAATCAATCATAAGATTGGCACATTATTGCTATAACTTATTCCTATATTTTAGAGACTGTGTCGAACTGTACATGTCAGTATCAGTGCTACTACATAGATGGTAACACATTTTAAAATGAAACTCCTACACAAAACCACAAGTTCTTTTGTTGCATTCTGTCCCAATCATCTTATAGATCCTATCTGTTTCATCTGATTTTAGGTTAATTTTCTATTGGAGAAAGTAGAGTCTACCTTCATCAGAAACTTCACACGCTCAAATCACAAAAAGGGGAGGAAGTTATTAAGGCAAAAAGCAAAAACAGAAAAACAAAACATAACATTTTTTACAGGTAAATACTAAATAACAGAATGTCTGTGGGTTAATGTTATGTAAATGTTTGAATTGAAGTATTTCTCTAAGCTATGTGTTGAGTGTTGAGTATTATTATATCGTGTACCTTGCACTTTTACTTGTAGGTTTCTTTTCTGGTTGCTTTGTTGCTCTATTGGTTGCTACTATATTTAGAATAACATCTCAGCAATTCATAAAGAAGAAGAAGGGAACATTTTACATGGAAAACATTTTCCCATTGTACAGGTGACTGCATTTTAATGAACCATTTTGCATATCTATCTATTGATATGCAGATCAGAAAATAGACTGTTGCTTTTGTTCTGTCTCCATGATATTCACGATTATTTGATCTGTTCATTTCGATATTATTTCTTAAGAGGGGAGTATTTTTTGCAGTCTTTTTGGATATATCACTCTACATATGCTTGTGTATGCTGCAAACACATATTATTGGAAGCGTTATCGGGTCAATTATCCATTCTTATTTGGCTTCAGGGCTGGAACTGAATTGGACTACAGAGAAATTTTCCTTCTGACCTCTGGTCATGCAGTGGTAGCACTGTTATGTTTCTTGATAAATTTGCAGATTGAAATGAACTCAAGTAGTCAACAGTATAAGACAGTCACTGAACTTGTTCCTCTGATCTTAGTCGTTGTAAGATTCCTAGTTTGGATTTAACCAACTAGTTGACCATTTCCAATACAATTTCTGAAGTACTTCTTGCCTTAATCATTGAAACTTACCAAAAATCACCCTCAATTGTACTCAAGCAATCCCTTCAATTTATTGAACTTTTGGTTTCTTGTGCAGCTTGTTCTTTTGATTACCTTTTGCCCTCTCAACATCATATACCGCTCAAGTCGTTTCTTCTTCATCCGGTGCTTATTTCGCTGTATATGTGCTCCTGTTTTCACGGTAATGGAAACAGAAGAATTCCATAGTCCATTTGAATGAAAAAGAAAAGTAGTCTATTTGGATATTCACTTGTATTAGAGTAGAATAAGATGAAGAAAGTGAAGAGTTGTTCCATAAACTATAGCTAACTTACATTTTAAAAATCTGATATAGTTTCTATAAATCATGTTATCCATAAACTAATTTCACTTAATGGAAAAGTTTATTTATAACACAAAACTGAGTTATCTTTGCAGGTTCGTCTTGCAGATTTCTTCTTGGCTGACCAGCTCACTAGCCAGGTAGATTCATATTCCACAGACATTAGTATGTTTCTGATATATCATTGCATGTTCTAATTTTGACTTCAGTTCCAAGCATTCAAGAGTGTGGAGCTTTACATATGCTATTATGGGCTTGGAGAACACTCAAGGAGGCAAAAGAAATGTCACACTCGTGGTATCTATAACATACAGTATTTCATCGTTGGCATCATTCCTTATTGGTTTCGGCTAGCACAGGTCCATATACAATCTTTTCTTTCCATATGCATTCTAATATCTGTGATTGTTTGTTGTGACAAATATACAAAATATCTTCTCCTTTGAAATTATAAGGTGAAGGTGAAGTGTTATGCACTTAAAGTATCATCATTGAAGATTGAAGACACCACCTATAGAGTAGCTAAAAAAGGAAAAATGATTATTTTACATACCTAAATTTTTTAATATTCATTTAATACTATCCTACCATTTTACCCTTCCCTTATATTATGTATCTGGTAAAAATGTGTTATACCGTACCATTGTTTTTAAAAAAATCATCTCAACTATACTGACAGAACTGAGCACATGATGTTTGTGCAGTGCATGCGTCAATTCTATGAAGAGGAAGACATCAACCGTGCATTCAATAGTTTAAATTATCTCTCAACAATTACTGCCATGGTCTTTCGGACAGCCTTTGAACTAAAGAAGGGAAGAAGTTGGAAGGTGTTGGCACTGGTAACTTCAGCGCTAGCAGTTCTTCAGAACACATATTGGGACATCGTTAAGGACTGGGGGCTCCTGCAAAGGCATTCAAAGAACCCCTATTTGAGAGATAAACTAATACTTCCCCATAGAAGTATCTATTTCATAGCCATGGTAACTATAAAATTTACCAGAAAGGTGTGTTCTTCTGCATATGGTTCTTGTATACATATTACATTGCTAATTCAATCTCATGTGAATTTACTCACAGGTTGTGGACGTAGTTCTTAGAATTTCATGGATGCAGTTGGTGTTTGAAATGAATTGGAGTCCCCTTCGAAAAGTGACAATAATTACAGTTACTTCCTGCCTTGAGATTGTTCGTCGTGGCATTTGGAACTTCTTCAGGTAACTTTTTTGACATAGAAAACTTCAATGGCATTGGCTTTATTAGATTGCATGACACATTGTGATGGCTCAGGTTGGAGAACGAACACTTGAACAATGTTGGAAACTACCGTGCCTTCAAATCCGTTCCTCATCCTTTCAGTTACTACGATGACGAAAAGGACAAGGATGAGTAGGGAAACAGTACCTTGTACTGCATGATTACACCCACAGTACAAAGAAACAGCGTATTTTGAATTGGATATGAAACGTTGTATCACAGAAAATTCACCATAGAAATCAAGAATTGATTTGACGTAGTTATAAAAATATATATTTACTAGGAAGTCGAGAAATTGTGAAAAATTTAAATTCCCCTCAAGTGTGTCGAATAAAGTATTGATTTTTCAAATTTAAAGATTTTTTTAGCTTTTATTTATTACGGTATTTAGAGCATACCCGGGATAGGTTATTAGAAGAAGTCGTGATACATTTAAAAATTCTTAAACACTTTAGTTACGAAATATAAAATTAAAAAGAAAAGGAAAAAAAGATGATTGGATTATTCATTTAAAAATAAATTGCGAACTTCTTTAGCGTAACAAAAAAAAGCTACTTAATTTCAGGGTTTAGGATGATCTGGCCACAATTTATTAGGGACAGCTATGCTTTTCGTTACGAAACTTCTATAATTTTAAAAAAATCATGATATCTCATTTTTTATTGTTACCTTTTATATTAGGCTTTTGGAACGTATTAAATGAACCTTTCGAATTGTATGATTTGAAAAAAATTGTGTTCCGAAACATTTTTTATTTTAAATTAAATAATCCGAAACATGTTTAATTTAATTAAGAGACGTTCTATTCATGGTTGGATTGCTTTTCCCCATGAGTCTTAAAAGCATGATATTCTAAAATGAGGTTAAAAAAACAAAAAGATTATTTTTACTCTTTCTTGTGCCTACTCAATTTGAGCAAGTGATTGAAGAAACAAGTTTTGCAATAATTACTTGTCATTTTTTGTTGGGATAAAACATCCAAACGTGAACCTGATAGGACTAAAAAGGCAACAAACAGGTGTGCAATAAGGGTTCCAAAGGAAGCAAAACCTATACTTTCACATAAAGAGAACATAACCTTTCATGAAAGCTAAATCAGAAGCGTACAAAAGAGTAAAGAAAACAAAGATTTCTCTCTCCAAGAATAGAGCATACTTGCATCTCTAGAGAGATGATAGAAACATTGTTCTTGGCTCTAAGAGGGAAGAGAAAGACTAGGCGAGAACTCGTGATATAATACAAACACAAGTGACTGGCTTCATTTCCCTTGATCACAAATTCCAAATTTAACGAATGCCTGATTGTCAGTGCCAACATGCAGGCCATTAGGAACCAATTACCAAGATACACCATCCATATTCATGGAACTAGAAATAAACATGCTAATTCACATAGAAGATGACAACACACACCCCCAGAAGAAATTCAATCTGAATCATGTCTCCTCCTCTCCTTGTCTTTCTTGTGCCTCTTCCTGTCATCTGAATCACGAGAATACCGTTTCTCATGTTTCTCACGTTTCTCTTGCTTCCTATCCTCCCGAGAATGCTTCTTCTCACGCTTTTCATGTTTCTCCTGCTTCCTCTCCTCTCGTCTTCTCTTTCTTCTATTTTCCTCTTCTGAAGCATCTTCAGTCTTCGTTGAAGGTTGATCTGGAATAGACACATTTTCCACCTCAGCTGGTGCATCATCCACTGAAAGCTTTGAAGAACCAGGTTCCTCCCAAGGGCGTGGTTCTCTACATAAGTAACAGAATATTGGTAGGGAATTCCTTGAGGATAAACATGATTGTTTTCATTTAGAAGGAAAACAAACTCCGTGTGGAGTATATCTTCAAGAGAATAAATCTGTTGAATATTCTAAAATATCAGTTTTCAAAAACGAGTGTGAAAAACTACACAAGTACACCAATCTACCATTATAGCCAATTGCAACTGCCAAAGACAACTATAACAAACTAGGACAGTAGATTGGTATTACCGTAGTAGATTATTGACCATTGTATGTGTATATTTCATACACCACAGCAATAAATGTTGAGTAAGCCTCACATTCAGTGATAGACCAGAAAAGCCAAAGAATGAAAGTGCATTTGTAGCAGGAAAACTTTCTCTACCTAAGGTCCTAGGTGATTTCACAATATACAATTCTCAATCAGCCGTTTTTTAATCTTTACCGCTGCACTGCAAAGATCATGGTTGGTTGAGCAAAATACAAAGAATGATAAGGACAAAAAGAAGAAAAAGAAATATCCAAAACACAAGTTCACTATGTTGCATGCCAGTTCTTCCAAATGTCATTGGGTTATCACTTTTTGACATGTGCTAAATAAAGCTACTAAGACCCCATCCTTTTCTACGAAATAATAAACAAAGGAGTCCCATTTTGTGATAAAAACCATGAATTACAAGGACTAGACTATTTTTGGTCCATCTGATGCTTCAACAAATATAAACTCTGATAAATAAAAATTTACACAAACGGGTGGCAGCTTATTTTCTGATAAAACCAACTAAGTAACTAGACAATTTTTTGAGGTGATGTGGTCCTAACACCATGTTATCTCATTAATAGAATGTCTTCTTCTTCTCTTGAAAATAAAGTTCATTATTTCATTCTATTTCCAAAAGAGCCCCTCTTTCATATAACTCCACATGTTTTTGGTTGGGTATAGTTTGTCCATGTCTCCAGGTTAAGATAAACTCCAGGTTAAGATAAACTCCAGGTTAAGATAAACTCTCAACCAGAGGGTTATTCTTGTCTTCAAAAAGGATATCGATGTTACTCTCCCAAGATCAAGTATTACATGACTACCAATGTCACAAGTTTTTAGCAATCTCCTTTCTTCCCTACTTCTACTCAAGATTCTAATTTTGTTCAAAATGTTATACCTGTCCCATTAATTGAGTCTTCTACTCCTATAGTCCAAAATACTATACCAAATCCTACTAAACCATTGTCACCACACAGAAACCAAATGGCTAGCCCAATACCCAACGGTGAGTCCTCTTTCGAAGGTCATTCTCCATCATCACCTGGTACCACAACTCCTGATCATGATGATTCGAGTTGGCCCATTATCATCCACAAAGGTACTTGATCTACTTGAAATCCTCACCCTATTTACATTTTTCTTAGTTATCACAACATTTCCTTCCTATTTCTCTTTTATTTCATGTGTCTCTTCTATTACTACTCCTAAAACTATGAAAGAAGCACTTGATCATCTTGGGTGGCGACAAGCCATGATTTTAGAAATGCAGGACCTTGAACACAATAAAATATGGGAGTTAGTTCCTCTTCCTTCTGGGAAAAAGACAGTAGGTTGTTGATGGGTCTACACCATTAAGGTTGGACCCAATGATGAAGTTGATCGACTTAAAGCACAATTGGTGGCTAGAGGATACACTCAAATGTATGGGCTTGACTAAGTGATACTTTTTCACTAGTAGACAAAGTGACTATTGTCAAACTCTTCGTTGCAATGGCAGCCATTTGTCAATGGCCCCTTCATCAACTAGACATTAAAAATGCTTTTTTGCATGGCAATCTTGAAGAGAAAGTTTACATGGAGCAACCTCCTAGGTTTGTTGCTCAAGGGGAGTCTGGTTTGGTTTGTAAGTTGTGCCACTCTCTCTATGGTCTCAAGCAATCTCCACATGCTTGGTTCGGGAAGTTCAGCAACATTGTTCAATCCTTTGGGCTGAAATGCAATTAGCCAGACCACTCTGTTTTCTATTGCCTTACTGGAAAATGTGTGTACTTAATAGTGTATGTCAATGATATAATGATCACAGGCAATGATGCTGGGAAAATCTCAGTTAAAGGAACACTTATGCCATCTTTTCAGACCAAGGATCTTGGAAATCTAAAATATTTTATGGGCATAGAAGTAGCCCATACAAAGGAAGGAGTTGTAATTTCTCAAATGAAATATGCTTTTGATATTCTTAAAGAGACAAATATGATTGACTGGTTTACTGTCCCATGGATCCAAATCAGAAAGGTCCAGAGGACTAGTTGGAAAACTTATTTATCTTACTATTACAAGACCATATTTGTCCTTTGCAGTTGGTGTTAAGTCAATTCATTCAAAATCCTTGTGTCAATCACTGGAATGTTGTCATTCTATTCGAAGATATCTTATAAAAGCTCCATGACAAGGACTACTTTATGAGGATAAAGGAAATAGCAAAGTTATTGGATATTGTGATGCTGATTAGGCTAGTTCTCATATAGATAGATGTTGATATTGTGTTTTTCTTCAAGAAAATATAGTCTCGTGGAAAAGTAAAAAGCAAAATGTTGTTGCACGATCATCTACTGAAGCCGAGTACAGAGGAAAGGCATTCCCGACATTTGAACTTATATGGGTTAAACAATTCTTACAAGAATTAGGTTTTTGCTACATTCAGCCAATAAAGATATATTGTGATAATCAAGTTGCTCTCCACATTGCTTCTAATCCTGTATTCTATGAGAGGACCAAACACATAGAAATTGATAGTCATTTTATTGGAGAAAATTGTTGTCCAAAGAAATTTGTATTGACTTTGTCAGATCAAATGACCAACTTGTAGATGTATTAATAAAGTTTGACACATAATTTGTATGCTCCAGTTTAAGGGCAGTGTTAGAATAAATAGTCTTAAATATGATTTATTGTACTATGTGTCGTACCTAGTAGCATGCCAGGAGCATCTTCTAGAGTTCTCTTCTTTTCTTTCATCCATTGTATCTAATGTATCTCAAACTATACTATAAATATGAAAACCTAAGAGGAGAGAACTCACTCTCTCAAATTCACCCTAAATCTTCTTTACTTTAATCTCAAGTAGGTAAAAACACATAAAAGGTTTTATATAATATTTCAAACAATGAGCTAACAAAATCAGAAACAACTGAAATAGAAAATAGCAAAAATTAAATTAAATGTGAAGACAATAATAGCTTTAAAAATGTTTTACTTTCTAAGTCACTTTACCTTGAAAAACCAAGACCTTGGACCCTTGCTGCTTCAGCATGACCTGCACCTAAGTCCTCTGCTGTAGACCCACGCTTTACCAGTTCTGAAAACTCGTGTTTATCTAAACGATTACCTTGAGGACGGTTAGCACGCTTGGGAGCTAAGCCAAGTGCTTCCCTCATTGCCTGCTCCTCTTCTTCCTTAATTCTTTTTATCTCTTCTTTTGCAGCTTCCATTTCTGCATTTTGGGACTTTTTATCCCTGGTATACCAGAAAAGATCTTTCCCTGTTGAATCAAAGGAGGAGATTCAATGAAGCTCTTTTACGAAGATAATAACAAACTGCGCATTGCTAGAAAACTTGACCAATGAACTATACTAATCAAAGAGAAATCTATACAATAAATACAATGAAAAGTGGAGTTATCCTCAGTACAGATTCAGGACAGAGAGATGAAACCATAATCATGGTAGGTCACAAACAAAGTGAATCTTGCAATAGAGTAGCTAAAGCTCGTGTGTTCAAATAACTACAATGCTCAAAGCATCCTAACAGGACATTTCTTTGAACACTGGAAAAGCTAAAGTGTAATTAGATTTCATTGGCAATACACCGTCAATACAAAAAAGTAAGGCATCCGGAAAACAGTTAATGGGTTCCTACTTCTACTACTTCTTCCAAGTAATACAAAGTGAGAAGAAAACAGGGAAAGTTATAAAAAGCAAAGACGCAAAGAACAAAAAAATAGTGAATGTTTATATGCTCGTGTCTTGAGCCTTTTTTAAGCATCTTAGAAACAGGAAGCAGAGGAATAGTTTTTCTTTCACGTGTCTGCCTATTATCTTTCTACAGACTTCCCAGCTTCTTATAATTCAATTCAAGTAAATCAAATAGATATAAATACAATGAAAAAAATATCAGCAACACCAACATGCCATATGCTACGCTTATATACTTCCATCACACATACTAGAAATATTATGAAACAACCTAAGATCCAATACCAATGAGTTAAATAGCAGTTGTAAATATATTCCAATAAAATAAAAAGACTAAGAGGAGGAGGTNAACTAGAAATAAACATGCTAATTCACATAGAAGATGACAACACACACCCCCAGAAGAAATTCAATCTGAATCATGTCTCCTCCTCTCCTTGTCTTTCTTGTGCCTCTTCCTGTCATCTGAATCACGAGAATACCGTTTCTCATGTTTCTCACGTTTCTCTTGCTTCCTATCCTCCCGAGAATGCTTCTTCTCACGCTTTTCATGTTTCTCCTGCTTCCTCTCCTCTCGTCTTCTCTTTCTTCTATTTTCCTCTTCTGAAGCATCTTCAGTCTTCGTTGAAGGTTGATCTGGAATAGACACATTTTCCACCTCAGCTGGTGCATCATCCACTGAAAGCTTTGAAGAACCAGGTTCCTCCCAAGGGCGTGGTTCTCTACATAAGTAACAGAATATTGGTAGGGAATTCCTTGAGAATAAACATGATTGTTTTCATTTAGAAGGAAAACAAACTCCGTGTGGAGTATATCTTCAAGAGAATAAATCTGTTGAATATTCTAAAATATCAGTTTTCAAAAACGAGTGTGAAAAACTACACAAGTACACCAATCTACCATTATAGCCAATTGCAACTGCCAAAGACAACTATAACAAACTAGGACAGTAGATTGGTATTACAGTAGTAGATTATTGACCATTGTATGTGTATATTTCATACACCACAGCAATAAATGTTGAGTAAGCCTCACATTCAGTGATAGACCAGAAAAGCCAAAGAATGAAAGTGCATTTGTAGCAGGAAAACTTTCTCTACCTAAGGTCCTAGGTGATTTCACAATATACAATTCTCAATCAGCCGTTTTTTAATCTTTACCGCTGCACTGCAAAGATCATGGTTGGTTGAGCAAAATACAAAGAATGATAAGGACAAAAAGAAGAAAAAGAAATATCCAAAACACAAGTTCACTATGTTGCATGCCAGTTCTTCCAAATGTCATTGGGTTATCACTTTTTGACATGTGCTAAATAAAGCTACTAAGACCCCATCCTTTTCTACGAAATAATAAACAAAGGAGTCCCATTTTGTGATAAAAACCATGAATTACAAGGACTAGACTATTTTTGGTCCATCTGATGCTTCAACAAATATAAACTCTGATAAATAAAAATTTACACAAACGGGTGGCAGCTTATTTTCTGATAAAACCAACTAAGTAACTAGACAATTTTTTGAGGTGATGTGGTCCTAACACCATGTTATCTCATTAATAGAATGTCTTCTTCTTCTCTTGAAAATAAAGTTCATTATTTCATTCTATTTCCAAAAGAGCCCCTCTTTCATATAACTCCACATGTTTTTGGTTGGGTATAGTTTGTCCATGTCTCCAGGTTAAGATAAACTCCAGGTTAAGATAAACTCCAGGTTAAGATAAACTCTCAACCAGAGGGTTATTCTTGTCTTCNCATAAAACTACAAATACCAATTAAAAGCATGTTATGAATCCCCAAATAATCAGAATTACAAGTCGAGGGCACCCATATCCCCCACGTATCCGGGTCTGCAAATGTAACTAACTAATGGTTTGTCACCATGCTACATGCAAGAGTATAAAAACAGCATTCAAAATTCTCAATGAACAAAATCCTGAGTTGAAATAAACAATCAATTTTACCTTTCTGCCATCTTCCAACAGGAGCCTTGATACTGTGACCGAGGTAGTTCTCCCTATGCTTATCAACTTTCACATCGTCCCAAGTGAACTCTGGTCATCAAAGGTAAAAAGCAAACATAAAATTTATATACATGCATAATCAATTAAAATTATAAACATACGTTTTATTCTTGAGAATTAATTTTGTAAACCCCAGAGTTCTAGGGTTCAATATGATCGATCAACTCATGAAAACATAAAATTAAAAAAAAAAAAAAGACAAAACCCTGATTTGTAGAAACCGCTCACCATACCAAATTCAAGAATGAATTCTTGAAATTTCAATTTAACATATTTCTAAAAGAATTCGATACCCCAAAGAGAGAGATGGAAAATAACGAGAAACAAGAGAAGAGCATAGACAACTTACGATCTCGACCGCCACGAACGCCACCTCTGGTTGGATGATACATGTCTAGGTCTAAACACACAATTCTTTCCTTCCTCTGTGATAAATTATATGCCTTGCATCTATAATCTAAGCAATGACAGAATAACTTTTAAAGCACGTTCACACAAAGTGAGGGCTTGTTTGGCTTGTATATTGAGGAGTTTTAGCTTTTCTTTTTCCTTTCTCTCCACTTTGCAAAATCTACAGTTTTATAAAAAATTTAAAAATAATAATGATAACATTTTTTTTAACATTTTAATATCATCTATGATTGAAGTAAAATTACTCCACAACTAATAATAATAATTATAAACACCTACATGAATCAATTATATAATGACAGTTAAAATATTATAAAAAAATATTATCAAATATTACTATCTTTAAAAATAATTTTTAAAATACTTTTTAAATTATTAAATTAATTTTAATACGGATAATCTTTTATTATTAAATTAATTTTAATACGGATAATCTTTTGTACACTGCATTTTTTTAGTTTAATCCTAAATTAATCTCACAAAAATAATTTTAAAATTCATAAAATTCCCAAATAAAAGACATTGAATTTTGAAAACTTTTAATCAAGTTTCTATTAATTTTTATGGTGTTTTGAAAAAAAAATCGATTAAGTCGTTAAATTTGTCCCTTTCTCAAAATATTTACGATATTTATCAAAAAAAAATTAATAAAAATTACAAAAAATTTTAAATTTTAAATTTTAAAAAATTATAAAATATATAATTATAAATTTAAAAATATAATTATGAACATAAAAATATAAAATCATAAAATTATAAAAATATAATATTTATAATTTTATAATTTTTTTAATTTTATAATTTTATATTTTATATTTTTTAATTTTTCAATTTTATATTTTATAATTTTATATTTTTTAAAAATTTTAATTTGTAATTTTATAATTTTATTTTAAATTTTATAATTTTAAAACTTTAAATAACTTTAAAAGAATTTCATTAAATACTAAAAATTAATAGAAAAGATTTTCGTCATCATAGTCTCTTATAGAAAAATAGAAAAATATTATATGACACATTCAAGTGATAGTCACGTCATAGTTAACAGGAAAATCTAACTAAAGAAATTCAATTGTAAAGTTTTAAACTTTTAAAAATTCAATAAACCATAAAAATTTAGTAGGAATTCAATTTGAAAATTCTCAAATTTATCAAGGACTCATGATATTACTTAGGATTGAATAGTCCATTAATTTTGTAAGAACCAAAAAAATTAGTTTACAGTGGGACAAGTGTTTCATGGAAAGACTGAGACTTGGAAGTGAACAAGTAGCACCGAACATTTAATAATAAAATAATGTTGATATATAAACGCTGAATTTAAAGTTGGTTTTATTATCTCAGAAACCATTATTACTCTTCAAAGCTCTGTTCTCTTTTCTCCTTTTTTTCTCTACAAATTCTCTCTAAATATCTTTCATCTCACCTCATCTGATCTACAATCAAATTGTGCGTAAGCTATTCTAGTGTCAAGGACTTCCATTCTCACCGATCAAACTTGTGTTTTGAACGGGTAAGTTTCATTTCTTCAGTTTTGTTAAAATCTGGATAATTCTGTCACATGCAAGGTAGTCCGGCTGCTTGCATGTGTTCTTCAACCTTCTTTTCCCCTTTCTAACTCCATTTTGGTCCATTGGGTGGTCTTTTCTCACCAATCGGTGAACTGTAGGTATTCATAGGAATTTCTGGTGGTAATCGAGTCTGCAATTTTTGAGCTCTCGATTTGATCATAAAGGTAAGGAAAACTAGTTAATTTAATTATGATTTATTATGTATGCATATGTTTTTTTGATGATTATGCATGTGTGTAAAAGTGAATGAATTGGTATTCGGCATTGTTGGACGTGTGCATGTGTAGATAATTTGATGTTGGCTTGATTTCTGTGTATTGCCAAGACCTGTGAACTGGTTGAGAAGTTCTCCAGAGTTATGTAGAAAGTCGAGCGCTCATTATTCAGTTTCGTAGTGATATTCGGTCTTAGTGTTGTTCGGTTTAATATTGTCATTTAGTTTTAAATGTACTCGTTTTCGACCTCGGCAGTCTTCCGGTTGGTATTATCATTCGTTCTTAGTCGTACTAGCGATCGTTCTTAGTAGTGCTCGGTCTCGTACTAGCGCTCGTTCTTGATAGTGCTCGGTCTCGTACTAGCGCTCGTTCTTGGTAGTGCTCGGTCTCGTACTAGCGATCATTCTTGGTAGTGCTCGGTCTTATACTAGCGCTTGTTCTTGGTAGTGCTCGGTCTCTTACTAGCACTCGTTCTTGTTAGTGTTCGGTCTCGTACTAGCGATCATTGTTGGTAGTGCTTGGTATTATACTAGCAGTTATGATAGAGTTAGCGTTCGGCCTAAGCTATATGTGTTCGGTATAAGTTCAAGTTTTCGACTCCTGCTTGAGTCTTACTCTCTAAATGACTATTTGGTCATGTTCGCATGTAGGGAGAGTTTCTCCCGTTCGGCATTGTCTATAGGTTGTATTGATCTTTTCTTTTCGGTCGTGCTCAAGGGTGGGGGTTGTTTTACTGTTTTGTGTGATTTTTATTTAAGGATGTTATGGATGAGGAAGTATGATAATTCTAATGTAATGTGAAGGTATGATGAGATATTTATAATATGGATATGAAAGAGAATTCCAAGGAGGAATGTCTCGGTGGTTGGTTTCAATGTGATAAAAGTATGAATATGGATAGTCTAAGCTGGCGTTCATCCTGACATTCTAATTGTCACCGAGTCTCAAGTAGAGAATGATGACGCATGTGGTGAGAATAGTAGGAGGCCTGGTTGTGTATAGCTTGGGGTTCCAGCTAACGGACTAAACTCATCTTGTAGCTTGCGGTTTCCAGCTACAGTGAGGGATGAAGGGCTAACCTCGTGTGGCGGCTTGGGTTTCCAGCTATGGTATTCATGAGGTTTCCAGTTTACCTTTCCACGAGTGCAAGAACGGCTGTAGCTACATATTCATACAGTCCGGAAAGTCAGAGTAAAAGTGGTCGGTTATAACATGCTTGTATGGTTTCGGTATATGTATTATTGTATTATATGTTTGTCTGAATTGTATGTTAACATAGTTAATTAAATTACACTAGCTTATCCTTATTTTCCTGTCTTGTCATGTTGCTCGTTCGGTCGTCCGCGTCCTTGCAATGATCACCATGTGGATGTGATTAGAGTGCGAAGAGGATTCTCTGGAGCAAGTGCTAAGCAAGGAGTCTTCAACCCCTTTAGGATAGGACCGTTCGGTTGATACACCTCTTGTATGACCGATCGGTCTGCTCTTATGATTTGTATCAGTGTAGGATTTTTGTAAGTTTTAAATTTATGGTTATTTTAGGATAACTATAAGCTCTTAATTATATTTTACAACTATATTTTTGGGATGTTACATCTTATAATTATCATTTACTTATAAATTAATCTTCAAATAAAAACTATATTGTTTAATATTTGATTGTAAACTTAAAATTTGAAGTGAGTTTAAAATGATACTAGTTTTTTCATCATGAAAATTTTGAATATTCATAAATAAAATAATTTTAAGATTAAGTAATCAGAATTTTAATATGAAAGTGGTAATACAACTCAACACACTTAAAACATATTATAGGATGATTGTTAAAGTAGATATATTAAGACAAATATTAAGAAAAAACAATCAGTTAACCGACTTTTTAATCTTTGATTCAATTGATAGTAATCTTATTGTTGGTGAACATGTCTCTAAAAAGGAATATTTAATAGAGTCTAGACTCTTTCTACATTTAGTAAACTGAAATACTTATTAGCAAATAAATCAAATATAAAAGAAAGTTTTATACTAATTCAATCAAGCTTAGAGGTGATATCTAGTTTTTCATTAAGCATTCTAGTTAAGAGGTTTCACTAATCTAATAAAATTTATTACAAAACAAATAACAAACAACTTCAAATTACAAGTATAAAATCTATATAGGTATCATGAGTATCAACCTTTCTAGGTGAATACAACCTCTCTAGATATCATTATTAATCTCCTTCTGAGATGAAGAATTCTCAATTGAATATTGATAAAACACTTATAAAGAAAAAGAGAACAAATAAGGCTCATAAGGGTAAACTTCACAGTATAAAAAACATTAAAGTAGCTTATCACTTTTTTCTCAAACTAGACTTTTCACTAAGGAAATTTTACAACGATTTGCTCTTTGATCTTTGAAATTTTTCATTATGATTGTTTTTGTTTAATTATTGATCAACTTGTCATCTATTTGTAGCTATCGAAAATATAATTTTTGGAGTTCTATTGAATTTGAAAATTTTTATTTCATACTAACATTAGTTGTTATCTTCTTCATATAACTCTTCATAGGGAAAGTCTTGGTAATCTTTTCAAAATGATCTCCAAATCTTGACTTCAAGTTTCAAATTATATCTTTGAATTTTTAAACTCTTCTTTCCTTCCTTGAGTCAGCGAGAACCTTGATTTAGAAACTTTAACTTTATTTCCTCAGCAACATTAAAAAAATCTTTATTGAAGAAAACTTAGACGATTTATCGTTAAGAAAATTTTGACTTGAGAAATAATTAATTTAAAAGGTCTTTTCAATAATCAATTTTAAATTATCTACAAATAATGTCATGGTTATATATATATATATATATATATATATA